TTGAGTAGCTGCATGGTTGACTTTGGTTTACACTCAATTGACAACAAGTTTAGTCTTCATTCTATTTCCTTTACTCTGTATAGTAATAAAATTCTCATATAAGCCAGCTGCACATTTAATGTGAGGCTCATCAGTTAGTTTTCAAAAACAATTCTGAATACTCATTCAAAACACTCAGGTTAGTTTACACTAAAACTGAAGTACAGACACCTAGGAGAGTATTTCAACACAAAATAGAGAAATTCACATAAACAGAAATGAGCAAAGTAAAGACAAACAATGTAAGTGCTGGAAATACAGTGACAGTGTCATAAACATTTGTTAAATGACTAAGATGAGCTCCCACACATTCAGACCACAAAGCCTCAAAAGGGAGTGCTGGTGATCTTTTTAAAGGAAGCTTCAGTGCTTCAGAATGCTTTTTTTGGACCTTATATAGTTGCTCACTGGTCCGTGTATACTGTGAGAGCAGCTGTTTTCTCTCACAGGAAAAATTCACAGTACATAACAAAAACAGGTATATCTCAGATGGTATATGTGGTTATAGGCATGAGGTCAGGTAGTGGAAGGGGATGGTGAAGAGCCTGATCTGTGTAAAGCACCACACCAACTCTTCCCCATCAAGTAGGGAGTTCAGTAGAAAACTAAAGCACTAGCTCTGGGACCAGAAGATTCTTCTAACATCCATACCATGGCATTGACTCCTCTTCTTTCATTTTTTTTTATTCACTCTTCAGGTAATAGAGATCTCAGGTTCTCACCATTGGGCTGACCCTCTCCTTTCTTTCCTCACTGCTAACATGTATCTGACATTTATATCAACATTCAATTCTCAGGCTGCGGTGATTCAGAGGCCCTTATTGATCGTATCCATGGGAAGCGGATTTATAGCACAAACAATGACACTGACCAAAGGTACCTTGACCCTCTTAGAGGTCTAGCCCGATGACAAGACTTAGTACTAACCCAAGATACATTACAGAGATGCTCAACAAAGAAAGGTTAAGGAACTACGACATATGACTGAGCCTGGATTCAAACATGATCACATGATAAAAGGATCCCATTACCAGACACAAAGCTCTCAGGAAACCTCATATTGATTATCCACAAAAAGCTGAAGGAATGTTCTGAATTTCTGTCTATCCTTATTTGGCTTCCAAAGTGAAGGAGTTATGTGGATGGTGATATTCTACCAATATGGCCCTATGGTATGATCTCATGAAGAATCAATATAGAAAGAAAAATCTGGCTTGTTGAGTACCCTGGGGTATAGGTTCATAGAAGAATTTTCCTGTTCTCAGCTAGCTTACTTTTTAATTCATGTTGAGACTCCATTTGCCCTTAAAACTCCTTATAAAGTGAGCTGTGCACCTTGCTCTCTCTGAGGAGAACAAAATAGATGACAAAAGACTGATGTATAAGGTAGGAATTTCCCTGTGAAGTCACTCTCTGTCCTTATGCAGGAAGCAGGCAGTGATCAAGTCTTATGGTCTCTGTTTAGGGTTCAAGAGACCCAGAATAGGGAGTTGCTCTGGGGTCTGTTAAGCCACAGAGAAGATTCATCCCTTATCCATCTCTCCCTGAACTGATACCCAGATATGTCATTGGTGAAAGGCAATTGATTATATTGGTTGGCCCAGAGAAGAGCACATTTGCTTGATGGGCTGTCTCTCTCTCTTCTGGTACTGAAGATAAGAGACATTGGTACAGCTTGTTTGTCTTAGTAAAGCTCTGGGTTGTCTACACTATGACCTGAAAGTCACTCAGTGTACATGTCAGGATGGTCATCAGTATTCAAATCCTCAGCTCAGAGATCCTGCTAAACATGTGCCAGGAATAGTCCTGCCCCTGGTCCTTTTCCCAACACATAATGGATTTCTTTGTATTTCATTGGACCAGCCTAGCTTGTGCTGACTCAGAACCCTCTACCTAGGGAGCCTCAGTCCAGCTCAACTGCATTCTCTGTAGTGAGCACAGAACCTACTATACTTCATGGTATCATCAGTAGTCAGAGAAGTCACTGCAGGATATTATATATATTAACAATGATAGAAACCATGGCAAAAGAGACCAGATCCCTGATTAATTTTCATGCAGCAACTCTGGGAGCAGATTACTACTTAACCATTCCCCAAATCCAGCCTGAGAACAAATCTTACCACATCAGTGGTTATCTCATAGTATTGGTGTATCATGTGAGTAAAGCAAGGTGACTAAGATTAAAGGGAACATTTGACCAAAATTCTTCTTCATTCTACTACCAAAGCAGTCACATGGCTTTCAGTTTCTGGAGTCTTCAACACTGAAAAACACTGATTTTCAAAAATAATTAACATGATTAAACCCAAATCAATTCTTATTACTGCCAAGAGATGACTGGGAACCACTTTGCTAGGTCAGACTCCCATGGGCAGCATGTCGGTAGTAATTATAGAAAAACTACAACAGTTTTTATTTTTATTATTTTTTTTTTGATACAGGGTCTTGCTATGCAGTTCAGGCCTTGAACTCACTATGTGCTCCAGGCTGGTCTCTACCTCCCGGATATCCTCCTACCTCAGTCTGTTGAGTGGTGGGATTATGGGTGTGCACCACCACGTGTGGCTACTACAATGTATCTTCTTGATCCTTGCTGGTGACTACATGGAGTGCCTACATATTATCCTTTCTAGGTGAACATGAGGCCTGATTACCAACCACACTGTGGCACATCATTTGTTTTGAATGTCCACCCTTTAAAGATAGCTTAACTTCTGATTTAAGAAATTTTAGAAATCTACCAGCATGCTAGAAAGTATGCTGTAAGTCAGCCATGTCCAACCTGCAGTGTACCTACAGTCAAACCTGTGGTCCAACCTATAATCTAGGTCATAAAACCCTTGATAGCTAGTAATGCAGCCCCAATAGATCATAAACTTTAGCATTTTTCTGTGATTTGTTTCATAACTCCATTGTACAGCTGCTTAGAGAAGAACGGACACAGTGCAGGAGAGAGTATGCAGTGCTAACTGAATCTCCTGCATCCAGTGAATCAAATCGAAACCTCAGTGTATCATATATTGTGTTGTCCTTTGTGACTTGGAGAGTAAAACTTAGTAATCACTAACAATACTATTTCAATCTATCTGGGTGTGTATATGTTAGTGCTTCTGAAACAAGTATTTATTTTTAAATAGATATATAAATTTTCCTACTTATTTTCAATCAAAAGTAATACATCATCTATGCATCTTCAAATGGAAAGAATAGAGATGTCATAAGACATTTGACTCAAAAATATTTTAACCATGCTTCTTTTTTGAGTTTTATAAGATCTGTATTGTCAGAGAAGAGTATCCCTCCTTCTATAACCATGTCTTCATTTTGTAGCTTTGGGCAGTATGTACATTTGTGAACAACTGTTTTCAAAGATGAAACACACAAATAGTAAAAGTAGGTCAAAGTTTGTGAAGGACACCCTGAGAACTCATTTAGAATTGCAATCACTTTTATCAAATCAAAATGCATTAGTTCCACAAAAATAAGATAAAGCAGCCAGCTAGTTTTACTTTTTATGTTGCCCCCTTCTTAAAAATGTTCTATTACAAATATAAAAAGGGAAATTTCTTACTTGTGTACATTAACTATATCATATGTTTTATGTTCAGCTCAAGACAATTTGTTCCTCAATGTTCCTTAATGTCATTCTGGTTGGGCACCCAAATCTAGGTAATTAGAGATAGAGCCAACTATAATTTTAGATAGTACAATGAAAAAAATTTAACCATGTGGTTTTTTCTGGTGGTTTTATCAGATTCTCAGTTCCTGGATTTTGGGATTAAGGTTATTTGAGAGTTAAGGAACTGAAATAGCTTTGAAAGTTAAATATCGTCAGAAAAATGTGTGTGTGTGTGTGTGTGTGTGTGTGTGTGTGTGTGTGTGTGTGTTTTAAACAAGTGAACCCAGTATAAGAATCTTACATTGTAGAAGCAACAAATAGTGGCTAATGTTTTTCAAACCAGGCCTCTTCCTAGGTCTACAGTGTCACGCTTGTGCTGCTCTCTCCCACCAGCTATAGAGCATGTAGGAAAGGAAGTTGTCACTTGGCTAACTGGTATGGCCTCCCCACAGCTAGAGAATTGACACTGGTCACAGTATTCTGTTATTTATCAAGGTTTAATGTGGAGCCACCTTTCCTCTCTCAGGCTGCCTGTGATTAGGAGGGAAAATTAGTCTTTCTAGAAAAAGCATTTTACACTTTCCTACCATTTAAAACAGTGAACTTGGAGGAAGAAAGCTGAATAAAAATTCGGTCTTATGTACACAAAAATAATCACATGCTAACACTTGGGATACACACACTTAATTAAAAGGCTGTGGAACATTAAAATGTAGTTAACTATTACATTATGCATAAAGGAAATGATATGATCTTTGCACCATCTTTTGAGGGGAGCTAACACATTGCATTTTTATTTAAGTACATTTTTGTACCTTCCGCAGTCCAATATTTCTTTTGGAGGTGAGATGCTCAATAATAAATCAAAAAGCATCAAAATTAGAGCATATCATGTCCAGGTTACTCATGTGAGGCTAGACACAGTGACTGGGTAAGAAATCAACTAGTTGGAATGGCAGGTTTCTGGACCTGAGGGAAGGTGCATCGTATGGCCAGAAGGGGGCACTGTGGAGGTTGCTGTTCATCCCTGTATAGCTGCTCCATAGGAATCATTCACTAAAAGAGTCTTGATCTGCTACAAGATCCCGTTTTGCTAACAGGAACTCGGCAAGTGTACCCTTCCTAATTTCGCAAAGTTCCTTGAGCAGAGATAGTCATCTTCTCTCATTAGATAAGTACTTCTTCCCACAGCTCCCTGCAAACGGAAAGCATAAACTTCAACCTCTGAAGTCTACAATGTGATCTTAGTCCCAGCATCGGGGCTCAGGGAGGGGTTGGGTATGATGAAAACATATTTGCATGCACATCCCTCCTCTTCACAAGATGGGTAAGAAAAGAAGGTCTGGGACAACCCAGTCTGATTGTGGGGCTCCTAGTCCTATGTACACCATGGATTGGACCCCTCTTCTCTTCCTGTTCCTCTTTTACTGCACAGGTAGGGGCTGGCACCATTTGTAGGTATATCAAGAGCCAGACAGCCAGCCTAAATCAATCTCATTTGGCCAGGGTCTTGAAGAAGCTTCACTTTGTCCTTGCTTAATCGCTCCTGACTATGTCTGTTTGCAGGTTCCTCCTCCCAGCCTGTGCTGATTCAACCATCCTCCCTCTCTGCATCTTCTGGAGCAAATGCCAGACTCACCTGCACCCTGAGCAGCGGCGCTGTAGTTTCTGGTTACCACATTTCCTGGTACCAGCAAAAGTCAGGGAACCGTCCTCAATTTCTACTGAGATACTACTCAGACTCAGATAAATACCAGGGCTCTGGGGTTCCCAACCGATTCGTTGGATCCAAAAACCCCTCAGCCAATGCAGGAATTTTGCTCATCTCTGAACTCCAGAATGAGGATGAGGCTGACTATTACTGTCTGACATATCATGGCAACAGTGGTACTTACACAGTGCTTAAGATGAAGGGGAAGTGAGACTAAAATGTTCATTTTGGTTTGCTTGTGCTATGTTGTTACAGCTGAACTGGCTGGAACTAAATGTAATTTGAAAGATAACTTCTTATTATCTTTTTGGTCACTATCTGTCTTTCTAATACTTGTAGGTATGAAAATCTTTTCTCCTTTTCTTTGATTCATTGTTACAATCTTCTCTCTATGGTCACATCAACAATTCTGTAATTTATTTCCTAGGATTCCAGCTAGGGAGTTTTCCTAGTTCTCCATCTAGGGAGATAATTAATGTGGGAGAAGGAGGTTAATATTATCTGTGTGCAGCTCAGAGTTTTCAACTTGAGTCAAAGACATATATCTGAGAGTTTCCTTTTGTCACTGGGTTCATTGTAACCCTGTCTAGATTTATAATCCAGCTCCAAGAATGAGGTCACTTTCCCAGATCTGTTAATTCCAGATTCTCTCTGGAAATTGTGATTCTCTTCTGAATATCAGAAGCAGGTCTGTATGGCTTCGAGAGGAATATCATTTCCTCCACAGTGACAAGAAACCGTGTCTTTGACCTGCAGGTAAGCACAGGCACCCTAGGCATCAAGCTCCCTCTCTACTGAGTCAGGCTTTGTAGTAACCAGTTTCCTCTTTCTATCTAGGATGATCTATTTGACCTTGTAGTTTCTATATTTTCTGCATCAGAGACAAGGGAGTAGAAAGAGTACCAGTTTTTCACCCCGGGTTTAAATAGAGAGTTAAATTGAAGTCTCATAAGATCTCCCTCTTAGTGGTGAAATAATTTATATGTTTATATTTATAACATAGCTAATGCAATACAAATTATAATTAGAAAGTTATAATCGCAAGTTACATGATTTTTCTAGAACATCAGAAATTTGCTGGTATAACCAAAATTAGTAGTGATAGATTTCTGGAAGATGAGAGATTTCAGTGATAATATTAATTTCTATCAGTGCTAATTCCCAGTGGGAGTTTCCTGAATGAAAGTTTAGCGTAATAAGGCAGATCCTATCTAGGTCAGATAAAATAGTAGAACATGTTATGGGTTAGGAAGATCAAGTAAGTATTAAATTCAGTCATATGAATTTTATTAAAGCCTGAGGAACATCTGGGATTTAACTATTAGAATAGAGATGCCTTATGGACACTTGGTCAAGCTGCTGGTAGCATGAAACTATCAACTGTTGGGAGCAGACTATCATAGAATATTTCTCATTTATTGATATGGGAATGCAAAACAGTGCCATCAGCTTTAGAAAACAGGCTGACAGCAGCTGGCAAAGCTAAGAAACCCTTTTACCATATAATGGAACAATCATATTAGGTATTTGTTCCAAGAAGTTAGAAGTGTGTGTCCTCACACAAGCTTAGAAATGGATAAAGTCATTGTATTTGTAAATTCCAAAATCACAGGCAACCAAAATATTTTGCAACATACAACTGAATAAACACATGATGATACATCCACAAAATTAAATAATAGTGAGTAAAAATAGCTGAATTTTCAAATGCATTGTGATGTGAAAGAACTTAAATTCATATTGCTCTGAGAAAGATACTCTGGAAAGACTATGCGATGTATTATACCAAGAACAAAGTGTTCTTTAAAAAGGGAACAATTGTGGAGATAGTAAAAAATATGAGTGGTTTCCAGGGAGCTGTGGGTAGGGAAGAAGGGAACAAAATGGAGCAAAGAGGTTGCTTAGGGCAGCAAAACTATTCTTTTATGTTACTCTGTTTGATTGGCTACATGCATTTGGCAAAACCCATAAAACTATGCAAAGCAAGAAATGAACCTTAATGGTAAACAGGAATTTTAGTTACCACTTAAATATTTATGCTGGCTAAGGAATTTTTCTTTATGCAGTTTATAAATGTACATCCCCGCTACAAGGGATTAAAATTAGGAGTAACAATCTGGGGAATCAAGAGAAAATGCCAGACACGTGGCACATAACACTGTCAGGGAGTTAGGAATAGTATGTATAAAAGCGGGCTCATAAGAGTACCATGGAGCAGAAAAATTCCTACCATCAGGTGATATTGTGGCCACCGTATTTTCATAGTTGTGGCATTGTGTTCACCTTGTTTGTGGAAACAAAATATCCTAGGGGGCTGGCTAGTGGCTGCTGGAGCAGAGTGCCCCATGGGCACATGTGGAAAAGTGGAGATACCTGAGTGCTGGTGGGCTATGTCCCCGCCCTCTGCAAATTTAGGGCTTTGTTTGACTTTTCTTGCCTTTGTCACACCCTCAACTCCCTGCCATAGGTGAGAAGGCCAGCTTGGGTTGAGTGGCTGGAGCTGAGATGGTGCAGAGCTCAGAGACAGCTGCAAGGATGTCGGGGTTGAGTGGTGCTAAGGATGACCTTACCAGGTACAGAAGATGAAAGGCAGCCCCATCGAGCTTGGAGTTATAACACAACACAATATCAAGGAGTTGAAGAGGTTAGATGGGGTCATCTCTCCAGTTAGCTATAATGACTGGTTCTACAAGGATGTGCTGGAGGTGCAAGCTAGCACAACTTGCCTATTTCAATGATATTGCTGTTGGTGCAGTGTGCTGCAGGGTGGGTCATTCACAGATTCAGAAGAGACTTTACATCATGACACTAGGAGGTCTTGCAACCTTACTGAAGGCTAGAAATAGGAACTAAAGTGTTAAATCATGTCTTAAACATCTGTGAGAAAGATGGCACTTTGGGCAATATCTATCTGTATGTCCAGATCAGCAATGAGGCGGCGATTGACTTCTACAGGAAATTTGACTTTGAGATTATTAAAACAAAGAGCTACTAGAAGAGGATAGAGCCTGCTGATGCTCACGTGCTTCTGAAAAATCTCAGTGTGCTTCTGGTCAGTATGCAGATGTGCAAAAGACAGACAAATGAACAAATTGCAAATTCAACTGTTTTACACTAGCTTGTAGCCAAATAAAAAGAGAGGTCCATTAGTCTCCTCCCCTCTTTGTTAACCTTTCCTACCTTGTTCTCTTGTTCTTGGTTTTTTTCCCTTTTTTCCCTCTTTCCTTTAAAAGTTTTAATAATTTCAAAGAGTTTTAAAAATAATCATGTTTGGATCGTTTAAGTTTTCTCAATTTTATGAGGTGATTAGATTGAAGGAAGATCTGTTTACTTTCATAGTTAAAATGTATACCCTGCAAATTTTGGGTGTAAAATGAGTTCAAATTTTTAAACTTTAAAAAAAGTCTTTCTTTCACACTGAGGGACACAGCCTACAAATATCATTTATTTCAAAATACAAAAAGATGCAGCAGCAATATCTTATTCTCTGACTCATAGACAAGTTTGATGTGTCGGTGGTACTTCTGGTTTTTAAAGATTATTTGTGGAATGCTTATCTCTAGACATTACTTTCTCTCCACCTTTAGTCCTTATGGAACTCTCAGGGGTTGGACCATTGTTAACCTTGTGACAAATACTAAACTTCTTAAGATTTCAAAGCAGTTGATTTTTCTCTTCCTGCTGATGGGTTTGGAAGATTGGGTAGGTAGTGTTACACATTGATCTGCATATTTGAGTTAAGTTTCTTTCTTGTTAATGAGTGAACTGGTTGTCAGCAGGTTTATTTTTCCTGCTATTGTTTCTAGAGGCATTATTATTTAGAGTGTGAGCTGGTGAGATTAAAATTTTGTAATATCCCAGCTAGTGATATTAGCCTTTAACTGACCAAAAGAAGTTTATTGTGATTTGGTTTCCTTTTTCCCTATCCTTTTTCTTTAGTAAACCCAATAATACCATAGTTAATCTAACATTAAAAATGGAGTCTTTATTGATTAACCTCTAAATAAAACTGAGTCAAGGTTTTTCCCCCCTTGGAGGTATTTTGAAGTGCCTAAAAGAAAGTTTAGACGTACTTCTGGCACAATAAATGCATGTAATGTCATCTAATACAGGCTATTAAAATACTGTAAGTGTTCAATTATGTAGGAAAGATTATCTAGACAGTAGTTTTTGAGAATAACATAATTATGATACTCCCTTATCTGTTGAAGACTATTTTGGATTTGCTTATACTCTGTGCCTACAATACTGAATTTATGGATTTGGAATAAGATGAATTGTTGAATGATCTGCTTCTATTCTTAGAAAGGTAGAAGCAGAAAGTGTTAATAGTACAAATATCACTGTGGCCTCCTCTACTGACAGGAGTGGTTTAATGCTAGATTGTTATCTAGAAAGTAGTTAGTGGTTCTGACAGATTGAGAACTTTTTTTTTAAATTGAGATGTCTGAAATATTTGTGTTTTTCTCCCATTGTGCAATCTAAATTTACAATTTTTTAAATTATCTGTGGCAGATTGGGTTTTAGCTGAGTGGCATAAGTACTTGCCTGGCAGGTGCAAAGTCATGAGTTTGCTCTCTGGTACAAAAAATATTATCAGTGGTCACTTAAGAAATGTTCTTCATAGTTATAGAAATAGGAGCAATGTCATCTCAGAACATTCATTTATATATCAAAATCTATTTTGATATCTGGATGTTTACAAAAAGGCTGAATTCTCCAGCAGTTTTCTCACTAATTGAAAAGTCCTTCAGAAAGAGAACTATTGGGAAACCATGGTTTGCAGTGGTGGAAAAGAAAAGGTCCTTCGGTTTTTGGAGGGAAGAACTTTAAGAATACTTAAATGGTAAGTGTTAGGCCTGAGAAGGGGGGAAGGGGAAGGAAGGAAGGAATGGAGTGGAGTGGACGGCCGTGAAAGGAGTGGGCAGCGGTGGCTGCAAAGATAAGAAGTATAAAATATAAGTAACCTTTATTTCGGGAATGCGGGGAGAGACCCCCCCCCCGGCCCCCGGGAGGCAGCATCTCCACCCCGGGGCCGGCGGACTCTCTCTAACACATGGAGTGAGGCCCATAAGTAGCCTCGGTCTGGGGTGGACCCCAAGGGGCATTAGGGATGCACAGGTAGCCCATTGGCACATGTTTGGCGCCAGAGGCAGGTTCTTAGGGATGGGGATATAGGGTTACAGGTAAATCTCTAAGGGGCAGGGGAGG